ATGAAAAACCTAAAGCACTGCAGAATCAGAATCATGTTTTATATACTTAGAAATATGAAACTTAAACCTTTACTTTAAAAAGGTCCAAAGACTTCTGCTTGACAAGATCCACTCATTACCTCCAAAAATGCATTTTCATGTGTTAAATATTGCTCAGAAGGCATTTAAAAATAGCAGTGAACAAGCTGAAAATTCTAATTTCATATCTACCTCTGATCTTATCAGGGGATGAAGAAATGTTTAAGTTGCAGACACCACATTGCTTTAGAATACATAAGTATCAGATCAGTTTTACAAGATACACTGAAACACTGCTCCCATTTCCACATCTGAAATCTTAGCTCAGTCCTTACTCTGAATACTTCTAAGATACACCCATACTCCACCAACTACATCATCAAAAAAAAAGGAGGACAAGTCTCTTGTATAGTTCTGTAACTCCAAAGACACCACGCAATGCAGCAGAATTTGAATAACATTGATTCAGACAGCACACAGGTCCTAACTCTTGCTTTAGAAAAAGATTAAGTACAAAGTAATATACACACCACAAAAGAAAGTCAACCGCAAACACTTGTATTAAATTTACACCCACAGATCTGTGGCACCTTTAGAACATCTAACAGCTCACAGGAAGTGATACATATTAAGTACTTCACTAGTATGCAAGAGAGATTGTGTGCTAACTACAGGTACATTAAAGAATGATGAAAACCAAAGAATTCAGGTAGTGAAGAAGAGGGAGGAAATATGAAGTAGAATATTAAAGATATAAGCATGTCAAGAGTGACAAGCATTACAATTTTGGGATAGAAGACAATTATGACACTAAACTGAACATCATAAAAGAGACAAGTCAATTGATTTCCCAAGATAGACTGATGTTCTGAAATTCAGTATGGCTGCCTAGCAGATGCCAGTGCTCAGCCAGATGGGTGGAGTAAATCTCTCCTTAAGGAAGAATAATCTTCTGATTAGCTGTAAGAGAACACTGAGTAGTCAGCTTCAGACAGTTTTTAACTTCTGTTTAGGTACCAATCTGAGATACAGAACCAGACACAGTTGGTTCAAAAGGATTAGATCATACAGCATTTCAAGAAACTAGAAGAGTAAGAGGATGCTTACTACAGATAAAAAGTATTAAGATTCCTATCACTGCCACTATCCCTCTGATTTAAGGACACAAAATCTTTACCTTTGGAAAAGCAAAGATTAATTTCTCTAGCAATTACTCATTTTACACAAAACTTCAGAGAATTTAGACAACCAGATCCTTCCTGAAAACCTGTAAACTGAAAGCTAAGCTACTTGGTCCATAAGAGCAACACATGCTGGAAACACCCTGTGAGCTGTCTTTCAAAATGTTATGCCCATCATAGTAAGTTTTCTGAACTAGAAGGTCAGACTCTCAGAATGTAGTTATTTTTCCAAGTGAAGAAAACTGGCCTTAGTACTTATTTTGAAATGGTAAACTTTTGCTTTCTAAACAATACTTTACAGACACAGTTCAAAGAAAAGCATTTCACTGACATCAGTCAAAGTGATGTCACCAAAAATATTTCAACAGCTACAAGACGTTTTACATTCAAAAAGAAAATTAGCTAGCAAAAGTCTGCAAGTACTTAAAAAAACCAAACAACAAGATTTTCTTATAGTTTAAAGGGACAGAGTCAGCTTGAAACATTACTAAATTTCAGACATCAGGTATTAATAAAACAGAAGTTTATTATTAATAATAATTAATGATATACTGTATTAATTATATGCTTATATACACTTAAAGAAATAATAATAGCTGCTGCAGAGCTCTACTTCCCTGCATTAAAAACATCTTTCTCTTTATTAACGTATAAAAGGCCAACAGTCAGCATGAAAAAACGCTAAACGAGAAGCATAGAAGTTTTTAGTTCTCTCAAAAGTTGTCATGTCACAAACACCACTTCAGAAAGAGTCAACGAATTTGATTTAAGCTGACTATGACCCTTTCAAAATAAATGCATTTTAAAGGATAAGATTAATTCAAAGATACAAAAGCGATAGACTTTGTACTGTACCTATCTTTGATCTGTCTGGCAGCCTTGGCGCATGTCAGAGAGAAGAGAGAGAAAGTAGTTAGTATTTCCATGCAAGTATCAATGGCAGTAACATGCAAGAAGGCTGAGAACAATTTCAGCTGTATTGCTCAGATGTGAAGATTAAAATGAGTTTAACATTTTTCACCAAAATAAATTTTCCCATAAAGCATGTAATAGTATTGGTTAGAACTGCAACAATGTATCACCTGGGAAAAAAATGATCTCAAGAACCACACCAAATCAACACCAAATTACTCAACCTCCTGGGTGTGACTTTGTCTCTTTAGATTTCTCTTAATCACTTAAGTTACTCTCCATCATATTTTAAAAGAGTTACATGACCAACTCAGTAAAATTTAACTTTCAAGGTATTTTCTGTGAAACTATAAAGTCCCTATTAGTGGCATGTAACCACACCTGACTTGTTTGACTATATATCATAGGATGCACACTCTAACAAACAAGAAAAAAATAGGACTTGCTTTAACTGTTCCTTCCTCTGAAAGTTACTGTACTATTCTGACAATACTACCTAAACAGCTCTCTCCATATGTCACTATTCAAAACCACAGAACAGAGTTTTTCCCAGCATTTAAATGATACCACTGAAACCAATACAGAAGTGGTGATGGCATATTTCAAAGATAAACATTAACTGGCATTTGGAAAGATAAAATCCCTGTTCTTCACCAAGAGGAACTGCAAACCTAAGACAAAATGTTATTGTTAAAGTAGTGATGGCTTAGTTACGTCTGTCGAATCCATGCTTGCAGTTAACATTACTACTTGATCTAGTTGCCATTCAGCTGAACTACTTTCCCTTCCAAAGAGGAGACAGGAAACATTCAGGTAGCTTCTCGGTTTAAAGTCAAACAAAAGTGGAGGACTTCCAAAGTTTTCATTAAATACAAAGCACACTCAATTAAAAAAAAAAAAAAATCAAAGTTGTCCCTGCTATAAAACCAATTTTATAGACCCGAAGTGGGAAACAGAAAAAACCAAGTGTTTAGAAATAAATTAGCTTAAGAGGTAGCTTTGTTTTACCTCAAATCAAAGTTATTGCAGGAACTACTGATTGATTTTCCTACACAGCAGCTGTAAACAAAACAGAACTACTTAAAAACCAAAGCCTTCTTCATAACCTCTATGCCTTGTGGAATATGTGGTACCCAGGACTCAACAAAGTCTTCTGCAAGACAGTCCTGGCTTAACTCCTTTGAATTTAGTTTTTTTACAGGCTACTGACAAAGAAGGGTATCATCCCATCTCAGATGAGCTGCCCAGCAGTGTAAAATCACATCCTGTCTAACCACTGAATCCTCCTGTTGCTGGTATTCATGTTCTTTTGACTTCCAGGGAACCCAATTCAGCCAATAAAGCCAATAAAAATCTAACATGGAAAAAAAAATTAAGAAATTATATTAGTCTTATGCTAGTTTCTCCTGAACTGATACACTAGAGGATCCAAAGAAAAGTTGTTCCAATAAATGACAGTCAGGGCTGGAGCTGCCCTTTCAGGATCATTTGGTATTCCTACTAGCAGACCAATAGATTTAGCTAATAGTCAAGGCAATATTACCTTAAAATGTCATATCCAAAGGCACATTTACAAGTGCAAGCTCATGTAATACAAATTTCAAATCCTAGACATAAGAATTCACTGAATTGGATTTTAGTATCTTAAGCTTCAGACTTCAAATTTGAAGAGATTTTTTCCCCCAGCAAAACCTCAAATAACTTTCCTTAGCGTATTTGATTAAAAAAAAAAAAAACATTAGAGATATCTGAAAAGGAGCAACTCACAATAACTTCAAAGCTACATTCTGCATAGTCCTCAAGAGCTAACTTAGTTTTAACACATCGCTATGACAAGACAGAAAGGACAACTCAAACTGAAGTGCTAAGAAAAATACTCAGTTTGGGAATTGTCACTCTTCAAGGCAAATAAATTAAAGCTGACACTCAGGAAGCAAGACAGCACACAAACGTGTTGCCAAAAGGTATAACTGACACAGTAAGACAGCTTTCCTGCCCGCTCTTTCAGAATAATACGTGTCCTGGTTCCTGTTAAAATGCAGAAAGGCAAAAGTAATTGGGTCTTGGATTTGGTGTGGCTGACTCCACTACTAACACGAGGATTATTATAGCAAGCCTACTGTACTCAGTCAGCGTACATGTATAACTGTTTTATTAATTTGTAAGTATATTCTCCCGGTTAGATAAACGTTGCCTTATTTACAAGTCTGCTGTGGTGACGTACACATTATTTGTATTAGAATCATAATGTGAGGCCCAAATCAGGCTCTTGCCTACACAGTACACAAATGCATTAGAAAGTTTTGGGGAATAGAGGAAGAGTTGCCCTGAATTCAGTTGCTTAAGATCTTTCAGGACAGCTATAGAGTTCAGGGTTGCAAATTAAAGATCCACAGCTTGCATGAAGTTCTACAAAACAAACATCTTGTCATCCACACATGGCTGCAGCTAGAACACAGAGACTCTCTGCAAGTGTCTTGTAACAGCACTCAGCCACTGAAAGGTTACTTGCCATGGCTTTCAGTGCCTCCCATCACATATTTTGTAAGTCTTGGTTCAGTTTTATAGAGATTTATTTCACCCTCACTTCCTGGGTTCACTTATCCAGCATCAGTGCAAGTTTGCTTGACACTGACAATTGCCCAGTAGGAGGCATTCTTTTCCCTCTTCCCTCCCTCTAAATAAGAAAAAACTTATTTTATTAGAGACTGCATAAAAATTCAAGACTATAGTGCTTGACTTGGCCTCCTCAGAGGATTCACTGTATTTTTATATTCATCTCTATCCTTACTCTCAGTATTCCTAGTCCAGTACAGTAATGCAAAGGATACTTCAAACTGAGACAAAACCCAACATCTGTCTTATGCACATCCGTTCAGTGTTTTCTACCTTTAAGAATTCCACAGGGTCCTTTATGTCCAATGACTGTGCAGCAAGTTCCAGCAGCTCTTCAGAACTCTCCAGGGCATTACTACACTGGCTAAGCTGATCCTGAAGCAAAACCAGAAAGTAGGAAAAATTTGATGTATTCACATTAAAAAGGCGGTTTATATCTACCAGTACTAGAACTACCTGGCTTTGCTATGCATTTGTAACTACTTATTACCTTATCTCATCAAGCCTATTACCTCTGACACATCATGCTAACTAAAACTTCACTGTGCTTCACAAGTGCACAGTGATATGTGGTACATCCTATAAATCCAGAGGGGAAAAAGTTGGATAGGTGGTTAAGTTTGATTTAAAAGCCAGATTTCATTTTCAGGCCTGTCTGTCCCAGCATCACGATTGCAGAAGCAAAGAAATGCTTGCATTTGGGTATGCTACAATTTCTATTTACAGAACTGCACTATCATCAATGAACTGATACTGTTTAACGTGGCAGTAGCCTTGAAAAAGGCAATGATTTTATCCCCAACCAGCTCTAGAACTGTCACAAGACAATCCTGAAAAATCAATAATACTGATGTGTATCAAATGGGGATAGTAGACAAAGGTGAATAGAGGAAGAAGGGCAGATTTCAGGATTATCTAAAACACTGTCATCAGTGAACTAACATTCCCAGTATATGAAACAGTCCACAGAGAACTTCCAGTATTACACACTATGGGTATATCCCTAAAAAGATTAGTTCTGAAAACACTGCAGGATCCTAAACATACTGTAGGTTAAACAAGAAGAGCATTTTAAACCTGCCAGCAGCTTTTGCATCACCACTCAACCTACAGCTGGTTTTCTACTCATTTCTACTACTTATTGTAGTGTCTCAAAATAAGTCAACAGCAAGTAATTATTTCTCTTTAAAACAATTCAGGAAAGACAGCTTGCTTTAAAGTAGTCACTGTCTCAAAAGCAATCAACAGTTGCATTAACCTCCAGAACAGACCAGCCTCAAGCACTTCAGAAGTGTAACTAGTTTTGGCAAATGTGGCGAGTTGACCTGGGCCAGCTGCCCCTCAGATTTACCGTTCAAGGGTAAAATAGTAGCAAGGAAACAGTCCAATAGCTAGAAGTTAGCACAAAGTTTCCAGACAACTTCTGAGGCATGCTATTAATGCAAGCTATCCTTCATGTAATACAGCTGCTCTCCTCTTTGCAGGATATCCTATGCTGACAAACTCAGATATACCGTGATACTCCCAAAATGTCCCAGGCAAACACCTCAGAGGAATGCAAAGGCCAGGAGCATTTTCAAACAGCTCTGCAGAAAGACATGGTAACTGGATGCTGCCATTAGCATCTTACTGACATGCATCTGCATTTGGGAGTTAAAAATAAATACTTCAGTGTCATTAAATACACTGTCCCAAAATGAAGCAACATAAAACAAGGCTTTAAGGAGAATTTCTAATTTTCAGCCTTAACTTCCAAGGAAATTACTTCGGAGGCATCAGAGTAAACATTAAATTCTCATCCTGTTCTACCATTACATAGCCCCTGTATTTTAAGTTATCACTTATTCTCAACAAGAGCACCTAGTCAACTACAGAAGACTAACTACAGCACAAGGACTTTAAGAGGACAATAAATTAAGCAAGTCCATTCCTTTAAACAGGATCTTTAGACCTCACTGAAGTTCCCTGGTTTCCTCATACAAAGTTAATTTTCACTTCCAGTCAAAGATAATGGCTTGGATTAATAAGTTCAGTGCAACAGTTTTCATCTGTTTGTTTGGTTTGGTAGACTGACTGTTGGGAAAAGCACTCTTGCAGTGCCTCAGTTACAGAGGAAGCTTGGTCTGTCATCAAGTAAAGAGAGTGCCCTTTGGGCCTGCAGTTACAGAACAGCCTCAGCTGAAGGACAAGTAGAGCACTTAACAACTGTGCCAATGATCTGTAACATCCCACCTGTCTTCATCCTCTTCTGACTAAGTAGCAGCTCAGCTATTCAACACAAGCAGTTCTTGATACAGCTGTATCACACTGACAAGCTTTCAGAAGAACTTGGTTCATCCACACCTGAGCTTGATCAAATTAGATTAACTATCAGAAAATTAACAGTTATTAACAGATTTAACAGAAAATTTCAATGGTCAAACTGCCAGATGAATAACTATCAAAACAGTTTTCAGTTCCAGAATAACTTCTTGCAAGACTAACTTTAGTTTTTCTTCACTAGAAGGTAGAATAATTGATACATGCCACAGGTGAATTTCTCCTGTGAGTTATTCATTGAGAAGCACTTATTCTTTAAGCATTTAAGTCCTAAGTGTCCCTGGATGTGAACAGACCTCTGTCTGTTGAGAAACTTCAGAAAGACTTAAAACAGACATATGGGGAGAAAGATTAAACTGGAGGTGGAAAAGTGCACTTAAGTGCCTAACTTAAATTGTGCACTCAGAAGTTCTGGAATGTTTTATACTCAGTCTTTAAGTATGAACGTAAACCTTTACAAGGAAGCCTTTGGAATCTCTTTCAGGATACTGTTCCTAGAACTTCTGTAAACTGACTAGACACAAGAAGGCGAAGTTTTTCAGGAACAAACAACTTCCTTATTGCTTTGCAAATGAGAACTAGAACTATTTGCAAATAAAAAGAACTAGACAGAAGAATGCCACAACTAGGGTCATTTAAAGAAAAAGAGCTGGAGAAACACTTCTGCTTAAAATATTTAACCACGCTTCAGCCCCACATGACTAGAGTTTCTGAAAGCCAGGGCCAACTTCCTAGACACTACCGGAAAAACAGAGACTTCATACATGTTTCACAAAATTACATTTTTGTTTCTGTTTCTCTGAAACCCATTGGAAAGATTCTCCTGCATGAAATTATATGACTACAAGCTGGTGAAGTTCACATAGCAGGTTTAGTAGCAGGCACCAGTGTAACCTGTTCCCAAGCAATTCCCATATGTCCTCCAGTGTGCATGTACAGTTTGCTTGATGTCAACAAGTGGAGGATGGTCAGTTCTGTCAATAGGAGACAGGCCTTTGTGCTTAGGATACCTGGCATGATTGTCAGTTCTAAGTTCAAGCCTGAGCAAATCACTTCAGCATGCCTACACGTTCAGATGTTTGTATTCCAAACCAGAGAGAGAAACCAATTTCAATCCAGAAGGTGTTCATTAGTTTGAAGGTAGTAAACATATCTAAGTCTTCCTTCTATGCAGCCATTCTCCACCTGTAAGCTCTACAGGTGATACCACTTCCTTTCTACATAACAATGTTGAGAACATACATACGCTATAGACCATGAAGTAGCCTAGAAGAAGGAACCAGATAAGTACTTGTATCAAAGAAAACATTTACCTTACACTTACTGCATTTCTTGCAACACTACCAAAATCTTACTTTCAGTTGAGATTTAAAACAGCAGTTGAAAATTGTTTCTACTCAGCTGCAAAAATTTACAGAAGTAGTTACAATACCTGTAGAGCTTGAATTTTACGAGCCTCTTCTTGCTGAATGGTGTTGGCCATACTCCCCTTCATTTCATCCAATATAGAATACAGACCATCAAACTCTTCATCCAACTCGCTGATTGCATTAGAAGAGTTTACCTGAGAAGAGAATTCAAACTCCTGCAATTTGTATTGGAAACAACGCAGACTAGCCTTTTAGACTGAAAGTCACATTGTTTGCCCAAACATGCTTTGCCATGACCACTAGATACCTTATCACTGCTCCTCACCTTATCAAAAGGGAAAAAACATTAGGAATGATGGACATGTCCTAAGCAGACTTTACAGCAGGACACTGAAGACTGAAACCATAAAAATTCGATGATACTCAAACTTGCACAGAACCAACATGCTTGGCAACTTTGTTCCATGCCAAAAGGCCCTGATTTCCCTCTCACAATTATATATGGATTGCTAGATGTTTGTAAAGAGGTAGTTACCCAGTTCCATATAAAATGATTTCATTTGATACTAAAAACTGCAGTCAAGAATCCAGCTTAAAGATCTGCTGGGTGACTTCCATTTCTGCGTTAACTTGGCTCAGCTTTAAGAGGAAACAAACAGCTCATGGCTTACCGATAGGGTAAAGGAACTTAAACCTCATCCTAGCATAGACGCTCTAAAAATTAGGTCTAACTTTTAACTTAAGCCTAACAATTTGAAACTACTGAAAAGAGAAAGAGCAAAGAATTTTCTCTCAAGTATCAGAATAGTCTCATTTTTCAGTCTGCCAAGCAGGCTAAAAATCTAAAAAAAGATAAGACTACTTCCAACTAACACGAGTTTGAAATCTTGCATCAAAATCTAGAATATCTTTTCCACATAAATCAAATCCTACAATAGCTTTTTGCATGAAAAGCAAAACCACTGTATCTTTCAACTAGAGACAGACTTAAAAAATAAAACATTTTTCTACCTGGTTCCAACACGAAGATATATTTTAAACTTGATTCTTACAGCCCATCCCTTACACACTATCCAAACAGTTTGAGACTTACAAAACTGGAAAGTTGCTCCCCTCTCAGCTACAACCTATAAGCCTTAATATATATACCTGAACATTTGTTATTGTATGGTTCAGCATGTCAATGAAGTTGTGAATTTCATCATTTTTGTTCGCTAGAGTAGAGACAATCCTTTGCAGAGTCTCCTAGAATTACAAAAACAAGTGAGAAGTTGTAAAAGAATCTTTTACTTTTTTTAACCATCACCACTTCAACATATATGGAAATTCATCATGCCCATTCCAGTTGTGGTGAATTCAACTGTTATTCAGATGGGATCAGGTAATACATTTTGTTAGAAAACAGAAAGAGTACCAAAAGTCTAAGAAGCATTCCACCAAACTAAAGATCTCCAGTTGTTAGTTTAAGAGAAATCAAGAATCTGTTTTATGATACACCACTGTTTCACATGTTCTGCTACCCATGTAGCAAACTTCTGCAACTCCTCAGTCATCTAAACCAGACTACCTACTGGCACCACACTCTGACATATACAACTTCTCCAGATGAGAAATCCAATGTTTGCACAACTGAATAGAGAACCCATTTTTAAAAAGCTGGTAAAAGTTAACCCAGAAGAAAAATAAGCTAAAGTCTAAAGAAGCTAGTGCTAAATAATTAAGCAAACAGTTTGTTCTATATACAGAATAAATATGTAACAGTGATTTGCAAACTTACTCTACAAGTGGTAAAATATTTTGGCAAATAATTTATATATTCTAATTAAAAGTGACCTCAAAGAGGAAAGCTTACTTATAGTTGAGAAAGAGAATCATGGTTATCTCTGTGGTGTACTACTCCAGCTATTAAAAAGCAGTAGGTCCAGCTTACAAAACACATACTAAGTGTGCAAAACTGATAAGCACATCAAAATGCATTTTTAAATTAAATAAGACTACCAAGTGTAATTTTGTTGAGTAGGCAGTCGCATATTCTAAGAATTTGACAAAACACATCAATGCTTGGTACTTAAAACTAAGTCAAGTTGTATAATTAAAGCTCAGAGCATATCAGCATATGTAAGTAAAAATGAATGACAACGTGAGGAGCTAACTAAGAATTTTCTGTTATTTAACTCAGACCGGTTGACAATAAGTTCTAGAAACAAACCTGACTCTAAAATGCTAGATTTGGCTCTTTACAAAAGTGAAACCTGTCTTAACTATAATTAAGACATTATTAATCACTTGGACTCAATAGTTCCAAGTTACTCAACATTGGTGCTCGAAAACATTTAGGAAATCAAGGCATGGGGAGCTAATAAGCACACCTCAAGAACAGTCAGACCACCAAAAAGATGTTGCAGACATCCCTCCCATAAGCAATTTCTTAATAACCATTTACTACTTCATAGAATCACAGAGTAGTTGGGGTTGGAAAGGACCTCTGGAGATCATCTAGTCCAACCTCCCTGCCAAAGCAGGTTCACCTACAGCAAGTTGCAAGCAATCACGTCCAGGCAGGTTTTGAATATCTCCAGAGAAGGAAACTCCACAACCTCTCTGGGTATCCTGTTCCATTTCTCTGCCACCTTCAAAGTAAAGAAGTTTTTCCTCGCATTCAGATGGAACTTTCCGTGTTTCATTTTGTGCCCATTGCCCCTTAACCTGTCACTGGGCATCACTGAAAAGTGTCTGGCCCCACCCTTGTGATGCCCACCCTTACGGTATTTATAAGCATTGATAAGATCCCCTCTGAGTCTTCTCTTCTCCAGGCTGAACAGACCGAGCTCTCTCAGTCTTTCCTCATAAGGGAGATGCTCCAGTCCCCTCATCATCTTCATTGCCCTCCGCTGGACTCTCTCCAGTAGTTCCTTGTTTTTCTTGAACTGAGGAGCCCAGAACTGGACACAGTAATCCAGCTGTGGCCTCACCAGAGCAGAGTAGAGGGGGAGGATAACCTCCCTTGACCTGCTGGCCATGCTCTTCCTAATGAACCCCAAGATACCATTGGCCTTCTTGGCCACAAGGGCACATTGCTGGCTCATGGTCAACGTGTGCACCAGGACTCCCAGGTCCTTCTCTGCTGAGCTGCTTTCCAGCAGGTCAGCCCCCAGCCTGTACTGGTGGATGGGGTTATTGCTCCCTAGGTGCAGGACCCTACACTTGCCTTTGTTGAACTTCATCAGGCTCCTCTCTGCCCAACTCTCCAGTCTGTCGAGGTCTCGCTGAATGGCAGCGCAGCCTTCTAGTGTATCTCCTCCCAGTTTTGTATCATCAGTGAACTTGCTGAGGGTACACTCCGTCCCTTGATCCAGGTCATTGATGAAGAGGATGAACAAGACCAGACCCAGAACAGACCCCTGGGGAACACCACCAGCTACAGGCCTCCAACCAGACTCTGCGCCACTGATCACGACCCTCTGAGCAATACCGTTCAGCCAGTTCTCAACCCACCTCACTGTCCACTCACCTAGCTCACACTTCCTGAGCTTACCTGTGAGGATGTTATGTGAGACAGTGTCAAAAGCCTTGCTGAGACAAGTAGACAACACCCACTGCTCCTCTTTCATCTACCCAGCCAGTCATGCCATCACAGAAGGCTATCAGATTGGTCAAGCATGACTTCCCCTTGGTGAATCTATGTTGACTACTCCTGATAGCCTTCTTTTCCTCCAGCTGCTTAGAGATGACGTCCAGAATGAGCTGTTCCATCACTTTACCAGGGACAGAGGTGAGGCTGACTGGCCTGTAGTCTCCTGGGTCCTCCTTCTTGCCTTTTTGAAGACAGGAGTGACATTGGCTTTCCTCCAGTCCTCAGGCACCTCTCCTGTTCTCCATGAGCTTTCAAAGATGATGGGGAGTGGCTCAGCAATAACATCTGCCACCTCCCCCAGCACTCATGGGTGATCACATTTGTTCACTAAAAAGCAAGAAAAATATTTTATCCTTTCACAACATCCACAGCGAACCTCAACATTACATCCTGGATAAGGAATCTATCCACTAGTCCTAAGCTATGCTCGTACATGTTTCTTCTGACCCCTTCCCTGGCAGTTTTCAACGAATCTGCAATGATGTATTTATTGGTACTCCTGCCCATTGCCTGTTTGCATAGCGTCATGCTCACAAAATTAAGCCACTAGCACAAGAAAGCAAAATTTTACTGCTTTTACCATATGTGTTGTAATGGTATTATGTAAAGATACAATGTACTGGCTAGCAATGACTGAAATTAGGACTCTGAGGATGAGAAACAAGACCAGATTGGTCTCTTTCAGAAAAGAAGAGTATAGCAAGTCTTGGCCATTTCATCACAGAATCTTTTCGTTGTCTGGTTGAAACTGAACATGTTTAAAGACAATTTTGTACACATTAGAATAGCAGATGAAACGTCATTGTCCAACCAGCTGCTTCTGCATTCACTATTGACCAAAGGCAATTGTTTTCGCATGTCAGGCAGCCTACGGTTAAGCCTTAGATCCTATAAACATAACTGTCAATTTGGATGAACAAGAAAACTCCCAATCCTCTTTCAGCTAGGATTTTAGGCCTTACTCAGTTGCAACACATGAAAAAAAAATAGTCTTCTTGTACATAGTACTGAACAATGGTTTTGGTTTTTATAGCTACATACGATTAAAGGAAAAGACCTACATGTGAGGAACGCTTAGAAAGCCTTTGCACAGCCAAATACATGGCAGCAACTGGAAGACAGCTGTCAAACAAGGTTTTCCACTACATCTAAAGTTAAAGTCAAATGACCAAACAAGCATCAGTACAGCTTTTTTTAAGTAAGCTACCAATTTCTCCAGACAGAAATTCCATCAAGTTTGGTCAAACTCAAACAAGTTTAGATGCCTTCTACAAATGCAAGAGGCCTAAAATTATCCAGCAGCAGTAGACAGAATTTTTCTTACACACCAATGCACAAGCCATGAGAACAGAAAGTCAGTTTTCAGGAATCACTAACATATAATATTTTCTAATGTAATTTTCTAATCATTAATATGTAATAAATACATTTTCTTCCAAACATACCAAGACACATGCCAAATTCCAGACACTGCATTGTTGCCATTTCTTCCTTTAAAGGGAATTTCTGAAGAGTCACTACAACTACATGCTTTGAAAAGAGTGCTAGAAAAATTACCAATGGAAGCAGCAGTTGAGGCATACATTCTAAGTTACTTCATAAAAGAACTACAACAGCACTAAGCTCAGTAAAGCTTCTTGGTATTTCTACACTGAAGGAAATTTCAATCTGTTGCCCACTGATGGATGCAGTACTTCAGAGAACCCTGTTACAACTATTCTTTTAGTTTTCTCTCTGGCTAGCACGTATTAAGTGAGGTCAGTTTCAAATTCATTTTGAAAACATTATGGCATGTTTATTACACAAGTCATTTTTCCTGCTATCAGGGAGCTTCATACTGCTATTCACTTTTATGCTACTCTTATTGTCTGAATCTAACACACTCTTTGCAGAAAAAAAAAATGCACAGCATTTGTAAAGCAACAGTGTGGAAGAACAAGGAATAAAGAACATAAAAGGATATGAAAAAGGCCAGGAAGCCTTACAACATGTGGTGGCTTGTAATCTTGCCAGGAGCATAAAAGTAGACAATATACCCTTCTTTGAATAGCTAGTAACTAACATCATATAGCACCTGTTGAAGCAGGTGGGAACCTCATAAAAGTTAGAGTAAACTTTGATAAATTAAACAATTACATTGGTTCTGTATAAGAAGCAAGTTACCAACTTGCCCAAAATCATACCGAGGTCTTATGACATGACTGGATGCAGAACAGTTTCTGAAGCAGCCTCAGGCCTAGGACGAAATCCCGTGTCATACTAACCTCATGTGCAGACTGAATTTCAAACAAGAAGACATACCTACTTAGCCTCCATTAATTTAACCTTCTGCGTTTGTCCAGACACTGAACTTGCCAGAGTTTGAAGGAGTACTTAAGACAATACAGGTGACAATACCAAGTTAACAGACAAAGTATTGTAAAATACAAGATCATCTGCAATTTTACTACTGTATTCAGAACCTCTGACCAGCACTGAAATTCAAATGTGATCAATGACAGCACTCAGGAACATCCGCCTAGAGCACCCACAACAGCTGCAGCCCTCATTTATTCCTTCTCCAGGAGACTAATCTCACATAAAGCAGGCAAAAGGAGACAGACTCAAATTCACATAGTATCCACCAGAAGCACACTTTTTTGGCATATCACATCTTACCTTCCAAAGCATAGGTGAGTAAGAAGTGGCAGCGTACACTTAACTAAAATAGTAAACAGCTGTGATCTGTAAATTTCAAGCCATTAGTAGTGCTAGTTATCCAGATCCTACTCACGAAGCAGTTTCCAAGCTAAGGAAAGCACAGTCTTCACAGAGACAGTAACAGAAGCCCTTCTGGGCTGCTCTACTGAAAGCCAAAGGGCTGAGTCAGAACTTTTTGCAAGGAGTAACACTTTTAGAAAGCCCAGTCCTTGGCTACGCACATCTCTGCTCCTCACTGATTTCCCTGAGGGGGCAGGTGGCAAATAAGGGAAGGAAGGAATTATAGGACAGCAGCCGCAGGAAAGAAAAACCTACAAAACGCTTTTATTAATTAGTTCCCTTCAACACAGGATTACATCAATGGGAAACAGCAGGGCCTATGTACACACTATTATTACTTACGACAGGAATACACAATGTGAAGGGCTCTACACCAGAGCCGGACTTCACTAAGGTGCAGAGAGGGCAGCGGTAACGCCAACGGCCGGAGCA